GGGGCTGCTGTACAGGACGGGGAAGTCTACAAAGACTTTTCTAAGAAGGTGATGGTGAGTATAGACTAACGAAAGGGAGGGGGTAAACCATGGTTTCTAGGCAGAGTCCACCCAGCGCAAAAGACCTCTGGCATGGGTGGGCCTGGCCTGCTGAAGAGAGAGGAGGCCAGTGCGGCTGGCACAGAGAAGGGGTGAAGTCAGATAGGTGACAGGGGCCTGGGAGTGTACCTTGTTGGCCCCTGGAAGGTCTGAGTAGGGGTGATACTTTTGTTGCTGTGGAGAGGATATCCAAGGACATGACAACGGGCCACTCAGGGATTCAAGTGGAAAACAGCCGTGGCTTGGACCAAGATGGTAGTAGTGAGATGCGACTGGGTTCTGGATACATTTTTAAGATGACTAATTGCGTTTTCTAACAGATAGCTCAGAGCTGTGAGGGCGTAAAATAAAGATGACTATACAGTTTCAACTTGAGCAACTTGAGGGAATGGGATTGTCATTTGCAGAAACAGGGATGAGCAGTTTGGGGAAAGTGAGACATTTATTTTGCATCTGATACATTTCAGAGGAGGAGCTGCGTGTAGCAGCCTGGAGTCTAAATGAGAGATCACTCTGGATTCCTTAGTCTTTACATGGTGTTCAAGGCCAAGGGGGTGAGCGAGTCCACCTTGAGCTAGAGGAGAATGTCTGAGGACTGAGCCTGGTGCCCTCTTTTGTTTAGATGTCTGGAGGGTGAGTGGGAAAAACAAACAAACAGAAAAAGATTGTATGAAGCCAAAGGAACAGTTAGGAGCAGTGCTGAGAGCCAACAAGAAAATGTGTTTCAAGGATGGTGACCAATGATTCAAAAGATGCTGAGAGACTGAGTAAGCTGGGAACGGACAACTGACTATTGGATTTCCTCACAGAGCTTAGTGATGGCCTTGGCAATGAGCAGTTCTAGTGGAGTGAGAGGTAGGGTCAAATTCTGCTGGAGGTGGGTTCAAGAATAAGAGAGAGAGAGAGAGAGCAGGGGTCAGTGTGGGCGATTCTTTTGAGAACCTTTGTGTGAAGCAGAGAAATGCTGCAGAAGCTGTAGGGGAACTTGGAGTGGAAGGATAGAGACTAGGATTTTTTATTTTACTTTGTTTTACTTTTGGTGGGAGATATGTATGTTAGTGTGTTGATATAGAAAGTAAAAAAATAAATAATAATTCTGGTGATGAGAGAGGGGGATCAGGAGCGATGTCCTTGGGAAGGTGAGGCGTCTTGGGCTGCACTTCCCAGTGCAGGTGGCCAGGACCACGGCGCTCATGTGGTGACGGCAGAGACGGCGGATACAGATTGAGCAGACAGTGGATGAGAGGTGAAGTCCATGGAAACCCCATCCTTCTGACTCCCTTTTATTCTGACAAAGAAAGCAGACCAGGTTGGGCATCATGCCATGCACTGGGAGTTGCTGGTTCGATTCCTGGTTAGGGTATATGCCTAGGTTGGGGCTTGATCTCTGGTGGGGAGCGTGCAGGAGGCAGCTGACCAATGTTTTGTTCTCATATTGATGTTTCTCCCTCTTTCCCTCTCCCTCTCTCTCTAAATAAACAGCTGTGGCTCTGAGAGAGGGAGAGAGAGAGAAGAAAGTGTGCAATGAGCACCTAAAAGAGGAGCAAATGGGACAGGGCTATGTGATCAGATCCCGGCAGCACTGAGGATGCACTTCCAGTGAGTGTCATGAATTCAGAGACCAGACATCAGAGATGCACTTTTCCTGAGCTCCTGTCAGCTGTAGAGGTGCCGAGTAGAATGACTGAGCTAGATTTAACAGTAATGGATCACCCAGAAATGAGCAGATACTCACTTTCGCTACAATCCAGGGCTCCTCCCATTGAGCTTCCCAGTCCATAAGCACCTCTCGCCACTCCTCTCCCCCGCTCTGTTCACAAGAGAAACAGAAGGGCCAGGAGTATCAGAGGTTTCATTTAGGGGCTTCCCTCTGCTTTGTTTCTGTTTAGTTTCATGGGCCAAGAGTTTAGATGCAGATATTTGCTCTGAAGGAGATGTTAACTGCTGAAGCGACCTCCGTGAAACCTGAGAACAGCTCCAGCATCGGCAGGATGCCTCTCAGCCTGGGGAACCAGCTTGCTCCTCAAGTGCTGCCTAAACCCTCACCAAGACAAGCACTCTTCAGGGCACGGGGAACAAAGCTCCTGTCCCCAAGAGGACAGAGCTGCCCTTACAGCCTGGCAGGGGGCGCCCCAGGGATGGACGTACCTACAACTGCTTGTCAGATTTGTTTTCCTCATGGGATGCACCGCCCATGGGGCAGACCCCGTGACCCCTCCACACACCAGGAGCTGGGTGGGAGCACCCCACAGGCTGACCATGGCTGAGCCATCTCACACCTGATGTTGGGCAACTTGGGTTGGTGCTGTAGGCTCCCTTCAAGGGAACTGAATCTGTGTATCTTGGGGAGGATCTAGGGCAGTGGTTGGCAAACTCATTAGTCAACAGAGCCAAATATAAACATTACAACAATTGAAATTTCTTTTGAGAGCCAAATTTTTAAACTTAAACTTCTTCTAATGCCATTTCTTCAAAATAAACTCGCCCAGGCAGTGGTATTTTGTGGAAGAGCCACACTCAAGGGGCCAAAGAGTTGCATGTGGCTCGCGAGCCGTGGTTTGCCGACCACTGGTCTAGGGGATGCCTCTGATCATTTATCAATCCTATCAGGGCAGCAGGCATGTCTCTGAATGGTCTTTCCTTGGAGTTCAATGGAAACCAAGAGAACAGGCAAAAAGACCCTTGGGGAGGCTGGGCAGGGAAAGGGGTAAGAAGTCTGTGTGCACCAGCCCACAGCCTCCTTCTGCCCCACCGCCTTGTCCACTCTGCCCACCTACTTGCCCCTTGTGTGGTTATGTGGGTGCGATGAGCAGCAATCCTCATTTTAGCTTTTAAGCAGGAATTGTTTAGAGTATACAGACCCCAAGAGAAGGGCATACAGCTGGACCACTCAATGACCTTCCCAGCCACTTCTTTCCCCTCTGGGCAACCCCATCGCACCTCCCTCTGGCCTACTAGCCTTCACGGCCACACTTGTCTCAGGACCAGGATGCAGCTCACTGTGGCCTCCTCTCCCCTCCTCTAGTCCTCCAGTCAGTCCACTTCTCTCTCCTAACCCATTTCATCCAGTTGTGGCTCCGTCTGCTCCTCTGTCTCCATCCCCTACGCCTCCCTATCCAAGGTCCAAGCTGCAAGCAGAGAAGCCTCGGGCCCCGAAGCGATCTGAACCCCAGCTCTGTGCTCCTGGACAGAAAACTGGGCTCCAAGAAACTCCGGGTTCTCACTCAGAGCTCGGCCTCACATGGACTCTCACGGGCCGTCCCCAGGCGGTCAGGTTACCCCAAAAAGCACCTTCTCTCAGGGTTCAGCTTCAGCAGGGCTTGATGGCATCCTAGCCTCTCAGCCATCAGCCTCCCCTTAGCAGCTTTAAGAAAATGCCCCCTGAGCTGTAGGTCCGGCCCTCTGACTGCAAGGCCCATGAAGTCAGGGAGGAAGCTGTCTGCCCACTACAGTCTCCACAGCCCCTAGAACAGGCCTGGCATGGCAGCTATCAGCTGATTAATAAGAGCCAACAGTCATGCAGGCGTGAAAGACCAGGGACTTTATTTTCAACTAGAGGCCCGATGCAAGAAATTCATGCAAGAGGCTCTGCCCTCGCAGCTTTGGAAGGTCGTCCGGACACAACCTTCCAGAAGGTGGTTCTGTTGTTCAGTCTGATTAGCATATTGGCTCTTTATTATATAGCATGCTGTGTCATTGTGAAGAGTCAGCATCATTCTGAGAAGTTAGCCCAGAGATTGCTCATTCCTAGAGTTAGAACAGGGGTGGAGTGTGTGGATCAGCACGGTACAGGCTCTCAGGAACCTACAAACCCCAACCAAGAGACTTCTCCCCACCTGTCCGCTGAGCGTGAGAAGCTCACGTTGAATCGCTCATAGCTGGTTGGTGTCTGAGCTTTGCTGCAGAGGAAGTAGAGGCAGGTGTGGGCTGACTTCAGCGTGGTGAACCCTGGGGGACAGCAGGCTGAGAGAGGGGGGATGGCTGCCATACACACTGTCTAGCCTAACCCCATGTCTCCTGGTGCTACTAAGCTTAGGCCGTAGCTGGAAAGGCAAGGGGTGTGTCTCAAATCCCAGGTGAGCAGAGAGCAGGACTCCAGCACTGGCCTACTGGCCTTCACAGCCATGCTTGTCTCAGGACCAGGATGCAGCTCACTGTGGCCTCCTCTCCCCCTCCTCTAGTCCTCCAGTCAGTCCATCTGGCTGTGGTCACCCTGTACGTAGGAGGGTGGATCTGGGCTCAGTGGTGCTGCCGTCCCGTTGGGCCTGGGACAAGAGTCTGGAGGACAGAAGGACGTGGGCTCAGACATCGGTGGTGTGTGTGTGGGCCTCCCCTTTCGGCATGGCTGATGTGGGCCAGAGAGAATGCGGTAGGAAGGGAGGAAGGACTGACCTCCATGAGGACAGAGCCCAGCCGGTCAGGCTCAGCCTGCGCAGGGTTCGGGGCGGTGCTGGGTAGCACTGGAGAGCATCAGGGCCTGGCTTTCAGAGGCCCCTGTGTGGGGCAGAGAGACTCTGGGGTGGGGCCCTCAGGAACGGGCCTCTGTCTGTCTCCACCAAAGCCTGACAAGTCCAGGGTGGAGGTCTCCTTCCCACAGTCGTCAGCAGACACCTGGGCCCCCGCCCAACGCCATCCCTCCTGGAGCAGAGGGCCGTCTTGTCCTTAAGAAGGACTTCCAGCAAAGCCAAGGACACGGGGAAAGGGTGCAGCTTTCCCAGCTCAGGGTCAGTGGACTAGGAGGGCAGGTGAGCCCCCAGAGCTCAGGCTCATGCTTAGCATTACAATGGCCTGTTTTCCACTCACCACAGCGGCTAGAATTACACACCCTGGGGCCTGAGGGAGAAAAAGCAAGTCCGGAACACTCCAAACGCTAACACTAATTCTCAAGCCGGTGGGGCTGCTGCTTTTGAGTACGTGTCTTTATTAGAACAATTATAAGTGCATATACAGTACATCTTTTCATGGATATCAAAGTAGACATTGTTTCTCAGAAGGAATTGTTACTTATTAGGAAAGCACACTGCATACAGGAAGCTGCCTTCTCCTGGACCATTTTCACATTATCTGGGACATGCAATTTCAACAAAACAAGATACAGTATTTACCACATTGGACACTGAACCCATCCCTGCCCAGGGGCTGAGAGTCCAGCGAGGTTGGGGACGAAGGGCTTCCCTGTGGGGTTTTTCAATCGGCAATGTCAGGGGTCTGCTGAGAGGACATGGGTGGTTCCGGGGGCGGGTTCCCTCAGAAGAGGGCCAGAGAAGATGTGCAGAGGGGCCAGGACTCCACAATTCTCATCCAGCTGCGGAAGGGCACATTCCTGAGAAGGGCGATGAAGTCCCGGTGAGGGAGCCCTTTGGCCGCACCAGGCAGGATTCAGAAAAGGAAGGTGCGATGGAACCCCCTCTGCACTCACAGGGGCCCAGCAGCCCTTGCTACACAGGCCCCCTGCTCACACAGGCAGAGGGCCCTTCCGGGCCTCCTCCCTCGCTGGGGTCTCAGCACCTGGCCAGAGCAGGACAGAGAACAGTACAAACAACGCACGGCACAGATTCAGGTTCCAGCACACAGCACACAGGGGAGCCCCAGTCCCCGGAGCTCGGGCCACCGGATGCAGAGGCTGGAGGGAAGGGCTGCCTGGAGGTCATGCTGAGCCCAAGGGAAGGTCAGGGAGCAGCAGCCTGGGCCGGGAGGAGCAGCTGGGTGACCCTGATTGCCTGATGCAGTTGACTTGAGTTTTGGAAGCCAGAGGGCGAGCCTTTCCTTTGCAAAGGGACTGTTTGAACCATCTGTGCTTCAGCTGGGAGTCTCCTTTCAGGAGCAGATGGCAGGTACAGAAATGGTTACACAAGCAATTTTCCCTGCAGTTCCTACTCTCACCTATTTCCTCTCCTGTCAGGAGACACAGAAATGACTATATTTAACAATAGTTGAGATTTAGTGGCATATTTCCCCCGATGTCTGGGTTTAGTGGCTCTGGCTCAGGGATTCCAGGGGAAGATGCTTCCAAATTTTCCACAAGATTTTTAAAAATCCGGGAACTATTTGTAGGTACCTAGAAAATGAGCCTCCTGCTGAAAATTCAATAATTTCATGTATAATTCAGGAGCCCTGTGGTGACAGGTTAATTTTAAAAGAGGGTTCAGAAACCAGTCCCTTTGTAACTAATAAAGGCCCCACACTCTGTTCCCATAGAAGGCAGCCGCTTGGGGGATGTGAGTACTTGTTTGCTTGGTGGAATGGCTTTGCATCATGAAGAGTCACCTTTAAGAAATACCTATGGACATGCCTAACACCTACTGCTACCCAAAGGTCATTACATCTACAAACACCTACAGTTCAAAGTCATCGCCCTGTCATGTCCTTTCTGCCTGCCGTTCGCAGTGGCCTGTCAATCGATACAACCCCTTCTTTTTTCCTACTTTCTGAATTTTAAAAACTTGACTGGATCCTCAGTCAAAGGGGAAACATATTAGTGAGGCCAACTAAAAAACAAAACAAGCGAACCCCCCTCAGTGCCTCCCTTCTTAAAAAGTGAACCTTTCAATTGTTTAAGGTTAACTCCACAAAAGGCCCTCAGTACAGGGAAACATGTCAAACAGAGGGCTCTTAGCCAACTTCCCGCACGTCCCGTCCAAGGGCGAGGCCGGGGCGGGCTCCCGGATGGAGCCCGGGCCCGCGGGCAGGGAAGGCACGAGGGGCTGCCCATGGAGAAGTGCTGAGGTCAGCTTTAATCAGGAAAAAAATACCCAGGATGAAGTGTTTTATGGACTGTGATTTCAAAGCCAAGATAAGAATCTTGTCTTGTTATTTCTGTGATTCTCAAAACAATGCCTGTAGCTCTGAGCTATCCCACCTTCAGAAATGGGGAGGGCCTGCGTTCCTTGGGCGTCAGTACTGCGGCTCACTGGGTTCCCTTGGCTCCGTGCATCCTCCACGGCTTTGTGCTCAGCGGGGAAAACAAGGCCACCCCACCCACATGCTGGCAGCCCTGGCCAGGGGCCGGGGACCCGGGCAGCTCCCCTCCCTCGGCCTCTGCACGTGGGGAGCTGACAAGGCAGCAAGAGGACACGGCTTTGAACAAGAAAACAGAATCGGACGACGGACAACATGGCAAAGTGGACACGGATGCGCACAGCGTCTCCAGGACGTGGTAACAGAACGCACTTGGGTTTGCTTCTTGATGCCCAGTTTACACAAAGCTTTTGTCTTGAGAGTCCTTCCTGGGTCACGACAGTCTCAGACGCACATGGTGATGGATGAGAGAGAGGATGATGCGAGGAGCGTGATGAGATGGAGAGGAGAGCGCGGATGAGGCCCCGCCTGGCCCTGGCCTCCCTCCTGCTGCCGCCGGGAGCCCTGCCTGGCCCTCTGGGACTGCCTCTGCCCCTGGTGGCTGCCTACACTGGGGTTTGCCTGTGCAGGTGGGTCCTGACCCTCCTGGTGGCTCTGCCCCTCCACCCGAGGTCCCAGCCTGTGCGGCTCAGAGCCATACAGCTCTCAGGGACCCCAGTCAGACCAGGCTCCATGGTACAGATAGAATAATGCACATAAAATAATGGCTTCTGTCTAAGTTCCTATTTGTCACCAGTGACATTGGATAATTGAGCTAAATGGAAAAAAAAAAAAAAATCCGAATATATTTTGCTACATAATCAAATGGTGAGAGTAAGGTAAATTGTGCAAAACCAGCCCTGGGAGCACACTGGGCCCCGCCCGGCCACGCCAGGAGACCCCGGGCCCTTCCTAGCACTGGCTTCGCCCGCCTCCCCCCGGAGGCCTCCTGGGCGCTGACCCAGCCCGCGCCTCTCACATCTTGGGCCTCCTGTTAACAAGAAGAGAGGAGACACCATTAAGGCAGGTTCCCGCAGAGCTCACCGCGGCGGGGGCTCCTGACCTCCCTCCGAGGCCCCGGGGAGGGGAGGGCGGTGAGACAGCATGGCCACGGCGAAGCACAGGGTGGCGGGGAGGCGGGAGGCGGAGAGGACAGACGGGCAGAAGCATGATGGTGGCAGATGAACGAGAGCACAGAGCCAGGCTGGTGCAGAGGCCACAGGTCAGGGCAGGCACCTGCCTTCGCCCACTGCGACCTCACGCACCACTCACCTGGGGCAGACACGTGGGCACTGCCCAGTGCCAGCCCGGCTCAGCATGGAGGCCCGGCTCTTCGGCTCTTCCCCAGCCTCCCAGGACCCTTCCGCAGGGCCGGGCTAAGCCTGCTTGTCGGTCACAGTGAAGCCCAGGGCCAGTGGGGTCGTGTAATGGCCAGACGATGCTGGCCTGCAGGTCCTAACACGGGGCCAGCTCTCTTGGTCCCCGCAGCCCCCTCCGTCCCCCCTGAACACTGGTCTGTCACCTCAGGCTGGCCACAGCTTGACCTGCTGCTGAAGGGCAGCTACTCCTGTCTCACGGAGGACCTGTCGCCCCCTCCAGGCAGAGGTGGCTGCTCCCCCGTGTAAAAAGGGCAGGACAGCACGAGGCACAGGCCTGCTGTTTGGTCTGGCTGGCGCATGTGCAAATTAGGAAGAGCCCAGCCAGCCCCTGACCTTCTGCAGGAGAAACCGCAGCCCTGGGCCATCCAGGGAACATCCAGATGCCTCCAGAGGCAGGAGGGGAGTGGATGTTGCAGGATCAGCCCTCGCACATCCAGGCACAGGCCACCGCCCCAGTGCTGGCCATAGGGGAGGGGCTGGGAGCCTTCGCCAGCTAAAAGGGATGGCAATGAAACCCCTCCAGTGGCAAAAGGAAACTGTGACCACCAGGGGCACCTTTGAGCAGCAGGGGGTGCAGCCTGGGACCAGGGGAGGCTGACACACAGCCGCTCTTCTCCCGAGGTCCATGGGCTATGCCCTCCCTCCCCTGCGTCTGTCTGGATCCATGGTACACTGTGACGGGGCTGGGGTGTGGGGGCGGGGTGTGTTCTGGGAGTGGGAGAAGCATACATAGGAAAGGCATCCTTTGTCAAAGCAGTACTGACATCTCCCCCTGAACACCCTCCCCCTCCCAGTCCAAGTTAGAGAGGCTTGGCAAGAAATCTCAGACATAATTCTGTAGGGAGGGCAGGGAGCGAAGTTCTAGAATTTAAACCTTGTCTCTTTAAGCAAATATTTCCCAGGAGTGAGGACTGAGGCAGCTGTGTCCTGCAACCTAACCGCAGGTCAGGGAGACTCTTCCAGACCGGAGGAGGGGGAGCGCAGCTGGGAGCCCCAGAGCTGCCCCCGCGCCGCCGGACCCGTGTGAGGAAGGAATCTACAAATAAATACCCGGCGCACCGAGAAGCACCTCATACAGAGACCCCCTGAGCCTGGAGGGGCGGCCTCACACCGCCCGGCTGGGGAGGGGCTGGGGACATCCACCCGGGGGCAGGGGTGAGGGCCAGGCCAGGGACACGGGCAAAAGAGTCCGCTATCACCTCGAATGGAAGGGCCAGGCCGGCTCTGCCCCGAGAAAGCCTGGCTGGGCAGCACCTCTGGCAGCAAGGAGAGGGCACAGGCCAGGCCTGCGCGGGTGAGCAGACTGCGATGGATGGTGGCCAGCAGGCGCACTGGAGCAGCCTGTAGGTGTGCTGAGCCTGGAGTGCTCAGGGCCTTCTAAGGGAGGGAGTGAAGGGCAGGAGGGAGGCTCAGGAAGCCGGAGGATGATGGAGACCCAGGCCACTCTAGAGAGAGTCCTGAGCACGGTCCCCAAGCCCCGGACCCCGACCTCAGTCTCTGCACGACTACTGTCTTCAAAATTTAGCAGACCAGAGCGGTCTCAGTAAGCACAAAAGGCAGGGCCAGCGTGGCCACAGCAGCGGCGGTGGAGCACGGCTCCCCTCGGAGTGCGAGCCTGGGGGGCAGGGTCTGCTCGGAGGGGGGAGAGCCATTTACAAAGCGCCGGGAGGGAGGCACAGCGCGCACTGCAGTCCGGCTCCGGTGCAGAGACTAGTGTTTCCTCCTCTGAGCAGCCTTTCTCTTCTTCTGTCGCTTCTTTTTTCCTATCTTTTCTTTTTTCCCCACTTTTTCTTCTCTGCGCCCCCTTCGATAAAATTAGTAGAACCATTAATGACGTGGAAATAAACAAGAGTCTGCCTCACTCTGCACAGCACTTCACACTGGCCCCTGGACTGGTGCCGCTCAGTCCTCAGGCCTGGAGGCCCCTGGGCAGCCCTGTCCACCTCAGGGAAGTAAAGTGGGCATTTGCCGTGATTCACAAAACTGCGAGGCTCCCCCACACCTGCGAACTCAGTACAGCCATCGCCAGATTGCCAGCGTGGCCCTGGCTTTCCTCGCAGTTGCCTGTTGCCTGCGGCTGGCAGTGTGGAAGGAGTTCACACCTAACAGGGTGTGAAGACTAACCAGAGCCAGGCTGGGCTGCATCTTCTGTCTCCCTGCACCTGCTTCCCCAGGCCTCCTTCCTTCCCTGTGCAGAGCTGAGCTCTCCGTTTAACTTAAAAACCTCTGCATTGCACACCAGAGGCGGGAGCTGGGGCTCAGCAGGCCCCCTGGGAGGGGAGAAGGTGGCATGGTCCACCTTCTCCTTCCCGGACGCCTGTGGAGACCCCAGGGCATGGCTAAGATTGGTCAGAAGGATGAGGGAGAGAGCTGGTTAGCGGAATCTTATTAGAGCAACTGGCTCATGGCTGTCACATTAAAATGATTCAAGCTGAATGGTATTTAATGATTTATGGGATACGGCCACCTGTTTCTGGGAAAGCTTGGTATTAACCATGGGCTGGAAGGATGGGCATTTTACATGGGAAAATGTGAGAGCTGGATATTATAAGGGTTGAGTCTCTAGAGATTACGTGGGGATGTTAGGAGAACCGAGGAGAAGGAGGGGGAAGAGGAATTAGTGAGTCAAATATTATTTTCCAGAAAACTAGCACCGCTGCTTCCATTGGGTTAAAAAACAAAACAAAACAAAACAAAACAAATAAAAAAAAACGCAAAAACGTGAGTCGCAGGTCTCAGGTGCTCCTGGGTGAGGCCCGTTTGCTGGTCCTCACCCGGAACCTCGCAGGAGGGACCCACGGCACCTGACCCGCAGCCGGCGTGGCATCAGGAAGGTGGGAGACGTGTAAGAACTCCATGTCTGACAGCTAACGGTTTACCTCCGGACAATAAACTCCCACATACAGTAGGATGCTTATACCATGAAACAATTGGCATTTTATTGCTAGTGCATATAATGTCACATTTGATACAATCTTAGTACAAGTGGAAAAATACACTGTGGCCAACATTAAAAAGCTTCCATCACATTGCTACGTGTCTCTTTACAAACTGCCAGTAGTTTAAGATAATAGAGAAACGTATCTACTGACATTCTATGGCTCCACTTCAAACGTAGGAATTGTTTGAGTATAAATATATTCTGAAATACATTTGTCTTATAAAGAAATGTTTAAAAAATTGTGCACAAAAATATATATATAAAAAAAAATGCCTTGCAAAACGTTACAAACACCGCCAGGCCCGTCTGTGGATCACATTCATGGGGGGACATGTCACGTTGCCAGCATTTCCGATTGAGCTGCCGTGGCCTCAGGAGCGGGAGTTAGCGGTAAGAGGCTCACTCAGTCACTTAATTTTCACCTCAGGTTTCAGAAAACTTAGCAATTGGAGCGCCTCGGGGGACACATGCCTCAGAGGCGATCACGGAAACCAGGCTCCTCCAAGAGAGCTCTCCGATTGGAACTGCATTGGAGATTGCAGAGACGTGTCTCTCATGGGAATGGGGGACCTGGGGTCCCGCGCCCCGGGAGGCCAGCCCCGCTTTGGGGGCGGCTGGAGCAGATTCTCACAGAGGGCCTGAGCAGGAGGGAGGGCTCGGGGAGGAGGGCGCTGAGGGCCGCAGCCCCAGGTCACCCTCCTCCTCCCCGAGCGAGCGGAGGGAAATGTGAGCGGAGCGAGGGGAAAGCATGCTGTGGCGGGAGAGAGAGGCGGGGATGGCAGGAGGGGGTCTCTGAGCACAGTCCCCAGTGATGGCCTCTGTGTGGAGCCCAGGGGCCCATGCACTGCGCTTGAAAGAGGAGGCGCTGGCCGCGGTCTAGGACGGTCAGTGTCTGTGGGCTTCCCTGGGCCTCCATTCCAGGATGGGTGCACACCCCCCCCCCCCCCCCACACTCCCAGCCTCCCTCCATGCCTCCGCTTTTGGAGGAAGGCCACTACTTTTCTGAGCTCCATGCTTGGCCACCACCTGACTGTGCCCAGGGGAGAAGAGAAAAAATCCAAAGCAAACCAAACACAGATATTAGGTAATCGCTGACTTTAAAAGGGATAATGAGAATGATGATATGATGGTGATGATCACAGGGGAAGTGACTGGTGGGAAATGCTGTGGCGATAATACAATCTCTCAGAAAATCCCCGGCTGTAAAACAGCCGATGTGCAAGGGTCCGGGTGCATGACTATAAGCTGTGATGTCGTACCATAGGCTATAAATGCAGGCGTCTACATGCCGGGCAAACCTCCCGCCTGGCCCTCGCCAAGCAGGCCTTCCTCCCACACCTTTGCTCGCTCAGGACTTTCGCACAGTTTTAGCTTTCCTCCAGTGGCTCTAGTGGAAAGTCCTTTCTGGCTGTTGGGCTTACTTGTTTAAAGCTTTCTCCAGGTATTCCTGAATCCACTTCAGCCTGGGGTCGATGCACACCTGTCTGTTGTTGTTCTTCAGCTTGGCCCTGTGGAGACAGGAGAGGGGGGTGTGCACCTGTGCGTCTCACTCAGACACACACGTGGGACCACCCCCCTGAGCCAGCAGATTCCCCACAGGAGTCACTGGCTGGGGTTTGAGGGAAACGGAACACAGAGCCTGAGAAGGAAGGGCAAGCGCCAGGGCACTCAGGAAGCCTGTGGCCAGATGGAGGGGCACAGAAGTAGGCCTCTATCTGCAAGGTACGGGAGCGTGTGAGGGACACTGGAGAGAACGGCAGGTTTTTGTTTCGGTGAACCATCTTGACGGTACAAAGAAGACAGAAGTAAAAGTAAGCCTAGGGCAGAGTGGATGGGGGTTCAGATCAGGGTGCCACTGTGGACTAATGCTGTGTCTGCCAGACCTGAACGTGAGCACAACCTTTGGGGAGGCCAGTGTTTCTCTAGTCCAGAGGCACGGCCACTTCCTGTGCCGGAGGGAAGAGGCTTAGAAAGGAGAGGCAAGGGTCCCTGTGGGCACAGAGGGCAAGGAAGGACGGCTTTGGACACTCCTGCTTGTGCTGCACTCAAAGGCCTCGTGGTAGTAACAGCTGCCTCTACTCATGCCAAGTTCAAGGCTGGACACTTAGCACGTGTCATTTCTCTAGCTTCACGGAGTTTGCCCGTTTGGGGTCACCGTGCCCAAAAGATGCAGCATTCCCGGAGGATGCTCACACTTACACGATCTGAAGGGCGCAGTTCGGAGTGTTGAGGATTTTGAGATGCTTGACGTTGGCTCTTGCAACGTGGCTCTCGAAGAATCGGCAAGGGCATCTGTAGCTCAGGCTGACGGGCTTCCCTGTGAGAGGAAAGAAGCACGCGGAGGCTCGTTATTCCCCTGCCCACCAGGCCTCAGACACGCACACGTGTCTGGGTGTGCGGGAAAGGATGGCGGAAGGATGGTAGGATGGAGAGTGATAGGTGAGCCACTGGTGATCTTGGCAAAGACCTCCTCTGTGGGCAGCACAGCGAACGCTGTGGACTCGGACTCAGCTTCGCCAGGGTTAGAGGCCAGGAGGACCTGTGCAGAGATGGACCCAGGAGGAGGGAGGGTGGGAGAATGACAATGAGCAGTCCCTGCTCAGGTTTCTTAAGATAAAGGATGTTCATCACAGGAGGGAACTATTTCAGCCAGAGGCACTGAGGTCCCAGCTATTCTTGGCGAAGTAACTCTCCAGAGCCAAGTGAGAAAGTCCTCCCTACTCAGACCCAGGGCTCCTCCCTCCTCTGGCACAGACCTCATCCCAGGAGCACCACAGACTTCCTAGGATTACTGTCCTCCAGAATCCCTTCCCCCCACCCCCTTCTCGCCTCATTTACCGTAAGCCCAGCAGCCACAAAGGAATCCAGCCTGGCTCCCACCTGGGAGGACAGGACAGGAGCCTCCGCCCCAGAGGCTTGGCGACTGTCAGGGTGGAGTCATACATGGCTTTCAGGGCAAGGACCCTACAGCCTCCTGGGCTGGATTACATCTTTGTTTGCAAATTCACCAATTTGCAAAATGCCATAATTGCCGCTCATTAGTGTAAATTAGCAAAGGGCTCCTGCGGAACCCACCCTTCCCCTTTAAGTCTAGCATTGCGGGCCCTAGGGGGCGGGGGTTTGCCAGGGCTTTTCCTGCAGATTTTATCCAAGCCCCACTTAATAGCCCAAATCATTTGAATCTGTGGATCCTTTCATCAGGGCTTAAATACATGTCTGAGAAGATTCAGTCCGCGGACGCATTTTTTTAAGTGCTCTGTTTGCAGGCTCCCAGGGGCCTCTGTTGGTTCTGAAAGTGTGCACTTTGGGGCTAGAGGCTGGGGAAGCCACACAAAAGCTTGCAAAGTAGGGGCTGCTTCCATTTTTTTCCCTCCCTAAATGCTGCATGCAGTTAAGAAATGGCATGGGGAAGAGCAGGCCCCCTCCCCAACCAATCTCACTATCCTGAGAAATAGAAGGAATAGCCTGGCTCAGGGCACTTGGTGGATCCGCAGGGCAGGACAGCATGGAGCAGCCTTCCCAGGGACCCAGGTCAAACCCAGAAAGTCCCTGATGGGGCCTGGCTCTCAGCAACCGCACAGACATCTCCCTCTGTCCCGCCTGGTAACCAGCTCACCTGGAAGGCAAGCCCAGGCCGGGGGTAGGCAGCCTGGCTAAAGGAGGAACCAGGTCCCCTGCTGAGCAGCCTGCCTCCAGCTTTCCCTAGAATGCTCAGGGTCCTACTGGGCTGAGCAGGGGCTGGGGCAGTGGGGAGCCAGGACAGGTCTCAATCCTGGAGCAACAGGGAGCTGGGAGGTGCGGGGTGTGAGCGCTGTGGTGAGTGGGGGTGGGGCTGCTGCCCTTGGGTGTCCACGGAGGTGCCCTGGCTCCAAGGAGGGCAGGGCAGAGCAGGCCTAGTCTGGACTCAAAATACAGGCTCTCTCATTCACTCCTCTCCCTCTCTTCATCCTCTGGGATCATCCGTTCCTTCAAAGCAATTCCTATTCCTGCTCCCAGGACCCACTTGCCTGTCTATCAAGTGGGGAATTTCAATAGTTCATTATTATTATTATTATTATTTATTTATTTTAGAAAGAAGAAGGGAGAGAGAGGGAGATAGAGAGAGAAACATGGATTTTGTTGTTCCACTTATTTATGCATTCATTGGTTAATTCTTATATGTGCCCTGACCTGGGATTGAACCTGTAACCTTGGCGTATCAGGACGAGGTTCCAACCAATGGAGCTACCTGGCCAGGGCCTCAATAGTCTTTTAAAGTGACAGAGTCCAAGTGCACTTACGGAGGAAACTCAGGGCTGCGTCCACCCGTGTCCTCTCCTACAGCTTTCTGTCACTATCCCTAACTTTCCCAGTTCTTCTGGGTGTGACATCGTGTACAAGGAGGACACCTGATTAGCCCGGCTGTTCCTGAGGGTTGGGACCTCGGCTTTATGTCAGAGCGCTTACCAGACAACCTTCCACTTTAATGAAGAGACAGGCCCTGGGCAGATTCTCCAAGCAAGCCTGGGGACGGGGCCGCCCTGGGTGTAAGCCCTGGAAGCTGGGACATTCAGAACACCAGCTTCCCGGCCGAGTCGGCCAGGGGAGGAAGGGAGGGATCCCAAGCCTGAGCCTGCACAAGGGTCTCTGCGGAGTGCAGTTTGGAACTCAGCATTGGCCCCAGGAGTTTTTAAAAAATTCGTCCTGGCCTGGGCATGCAAGGAGAAGCAGACCTGCCCTGAGCCCAGGACCCTAGGCTTGGCTGGCAAGAGGGGCAAGCGACCAAGCCTTCCCAGGGTCAGGAGGCGCCTGTGGCTTTGCGCCCCCAGGGCAGCGATGCCCAGGATTCAAGCACTCCAGTGCTTTCTGCAACTGGGGCAGCAGCATTTCTCTGGAGAGAGAGGTGTGTGGTGGCGCCTCAGCTCTCTCAAGACCATTCAATTGTTAATTCCCAAACCAGTGCCTCCCGGGCCTGGGGAGTCAATAGGAGATCCCAGCCTAGGATACAGTTTCAGCCCAGAACCTCCTAACTGGCCTTTGATCTGGTCCCTCTGCAGCTCTGACCAGCAACTCGCTACCCTTTCAGAGGACACTTTCCAGGGGGCAGCGGAGAACCCGTTAGCCCAGGCCCTACTGCCTGGTCCAGTTGCATGCACGCTCACCTTGCCCATGCTGGCTCCCCCACCGCTGCCTGCCACCGGGCACAGGGGTCCTCCCCCCGACCCAGCTGAGCGCTCCAGGAGGGCGTCCTGCACACCTCAGCTGCACCACAGCAAGCCCGTGAGCGTCATGCGTCCCTTCACAGAGTCTGTTGTAAACTTCGCAGCCAAGAACAGAAAGGCAGCAAGGAAGGCCTTCCTGACATGGCTTTGTTTTTGTTTTGGGGGAGTTTATTTTCGTTTGCAGCGGCGGTGGTGTCCAGTGACAGGACGGGGGGATTCTCTCAGGCTTCAGAAAAGCGCTCTCGCTCTCCCGGTGAAAGGGGACACCCCGTGCACAATGGCCTGAGGCCTTGGCGAGGGAACTTTGCGGCAGAGCTCACTCTGAGGCGGCAGGTCCGGCTGCACAAAGGCGCATTCTGCAGGTGTGTTGTGGGGACACCGGCAAACGCGACTGAGAAGCCCCCAGGGCCTCTCTAGAGGGGCCCCGGGAGGAGGCCAGGAGGCCGTGGCTGGATGCGAGCTCGGGTCTGGCGCGTCGCTTCGGACCGCGGAGCTGGAGCTGCGGAGAAGCGCGGCCAGGTGGGTGGCGCGAATCCGACAGCTGCTCCGGGGGCGGCTGCAGAGTGAGAGCCTCCACCAGCGATGGCAGTCGGCTTGCAAAGAGCTCTCTCCTGCACCCACACGCGCCGACCGACCGCACCCCAGGCCCCTGAGCCCACCCGCCCCTGGAAATCTAGCGGGGCGCGGGAAGACTGGCTCCGGGGTGGAGGGGCCAGGGCCGGGCACCTCCGCCCCGTTGGCTTCCCACTATGTGTTGCTCCCCACTCTCCCCCGGGCCCGCGCAGAAAGGCGCCGCGGCGCTCACCCAGCTCTGGCGGGACCGCTCCGCGCCCGCGGGGCCCGAGCCCGGCGGCCAGGGCAGAGCGCGGGGCCTGGCACCGAGCTGCGCGCGGGACTCGACTCCGCACGGAGGAAGCGCCCCGCGGGCTGAGCCGTGGAGCTGCGTCCGCTCCGGGCGGCGGGGAAGGAGCAGCGGCCCCTTGGAGCCCCGCGTCCCGAGCCCCGAGCCCGGCGCCCGGAGCCCGTGCCCGGAGCCAGCCAGAGCCAGGTGCCTGCGGACCTCCCCGCGGGCACACTCACCGTCGCTGAGGCAGAGCGCCGCCAGCACCAGGGCCAGCACGGCGACGATCTTGGCGTCCATGGCACGGACTGTGGCTGCGGTGGCTGCGGGGACCGAGGCTAGAGGAGGAGCTGCAGCGGAGAGTGAAAGTGTGGAGCCGGGAGGCGCGCCCGGCGCTTTAGAGGCTGGAGGGGCGGGCGGGGCGGGGCGCGCGGCGAGGGGCGGGCTTGGGGCCAATTCTCTGAGGCCTCTGGGGGCTCGGACCTGCGTCCGGTCCGCAGAGCCGCTCCAACTGTCCCCTCCCTCCCTGCCCCCTCCCCTCCCTGCACCTCCCCTCCGCGCCAGGATGCCCCGGGCCGCGTGCGCCCAGGCTTGGCGGGTGTCTGGGGGCCCTCTGTGAGCCTGACTGCGGGGAGGACCCGGCCCGCGCTGAGGCCGGCCTGAGAGCTGAGTGTTGTTCCCGGGGTTCAGATGCAGACGCGAGTACAAAGACGAGGCCAGAGGAGAACCGGAGGAGAACCCTGTGGAGCTGAGGGCGGAGGGCGGCTGGGAAGGCTGTGTCAGATGCAGCAGCTAAGAGTGCCTTGTGTTTGGGTGCAGGACCTAGAGGTGACCGCCTGCCAGGCCCGCTGCGGGGCCCCAAAGCTCAGCCTCAGAGGGCAGGAGACCATCTCTGCAGTCTGAGCAACGCCTTCGCGTTCCAAGCCCAGCCTCAGTTTCCCCGACTGTAAAACTGGGGCTCCAGGTAACATGTGCCACCCAGATCGCCCGTGGCTCTTACAAAGTTCAGCCCTTTGCGCCTCAGTCTTCTCAATGAGAATGGGCCAATCACAATCCCTGGGGGAAGGCTGGGGAAATGGACGGAGAAGGCCTCTAGCAATACATGGAAGCCAGGAATTACTGTGTACCTCTCAGGGCTTCCCCCCTTCCCAGGAGTGTCCTGCAGGACCCTCTTCTTTCCCCTCTGCCCTCCCTTCACATGCCGCTGGCATGGCCCTTCTGGGGGGAGAACAGCACGGAAGTGCCCTGGCCCCTGGCTGGGCACTGAGGTATTAAGTAGCTGCAGTGGTGTGGCTGGCACCACGGGGGTCGGAGGTGTGGGGGTGGGAAGAGCGCTATGTGGGGCCTTCCTGGTGCCACAGGCGGCTCCGGCCTTATCTTCTGCCCTTTGAAACCCGCATAACCAGATAGTGGGGTGATTCTGTCCCCGCGTCCACCGAAGGAGCACGCAGTGGGGCAACCTCTGTCCCGGAGGAGACCACAGAGGAAGTGGGCATGCCAAGGGGCCGGGCTCTTCTTAGCGCGGTACCATCCCAGGGGGTCAACGGGAACCTGCAGCTTCAGGACTCTAGTCCTGGATTGGCTGTCTTTTGTCTTTTTCTCCAAAACTACTTTCCTGCCCAATTAGAGGCGCTGTGCACTCATTCTCCATTCACTCCGGGCATTGGGCCTGGACCTGGAACAGGGGGGTTCTGCCTGTGAAGAACCAACAATCCAGTGGAGAAGTCGGGCCTGGAACCCGGCTCCATCTCTTTGTGGGAGAGCTGGAGCAGGTCGTCTCCCAGCTGGGAGCCCCGGCCTGCAGCCATCAGCACTGAGCAGCGGCGCCCTCTGGTGGTGAAGTCTCCCCGTCGTCCCCTAGATCGCTCCCACTGCCTCCCGTCTGTGGGAACGGGGCGGGGTTCTTAGAGAATCAAGCTCTTCCCCACATTCTTGTGTTGCCCAATAAACTCGCCAGGCCAAGACTTAGGGGTACACCAGGAGTCCAGAACCTGGTGTAAGCTGCGGGGTGCCTCGCCTGCCAGTCTGACCAAATCAAAAGTCAAAGCCTCAGGCTTGCTTCCTTCTTGCCCCTAAATCAGTGTGGGAGAGGCTGCGTGGCAGGGGCGGAGGGGAGCCAGGGCCTCCTGGCTGGCAGTGCCTGAAACCCCAGAACCCACCACCTCCACTGTTCATTTGCTGAAACACTTACTGAGCACATACTAGTGCCAGACACATGGCTTTAATACTGAGATATCTCAGTAAAGGAAGCATAAAACCCCTGTCCTCAAGGAGCTTACATGGTGGGGGCAGGGAGGGGGGTGGCAGTAAACCTAAGCAGTTAAGCGCAGAGTTTACAGAAGTTCAAAGGTCATTAAGTGCTATGGAAACAAGGAGCTGAGGAGAGGGGACTTATCTTAAATAGGAAAGCCAAGGATCTGTGTTTTAGATAAAAATCTCCACAACTTTTCAGTTGGCAAGAGATTTAAATTTAAAACTGTGCAGGCCAATGCTCTGGGGCCACCCGCCAGCAGACTCTGCCTTTTAACCTGGGCTCAGCCCCAGGGGCACTCCCAAATGCAGGGCAGTGCCCCTGGCCTTTCTCCTGTCCTTTGGGTATGCCACCCACTACCTCTGCTTGAAAGACCTCAATTCACCTTTTTCTCTTTCTCTGCCAGGAGCAATGCCCACTCCCCTGTGAGACCCCGATCTCCCCACTCAGCGTTGAGCAGCTGCCCCTCAGGACACCTGTCCTGTGGGCTGGAGAAGGGAGGGAGGCAGGAGTCTGCCGGTTGAGTTAAAAGATAAGTGCAGGCTTGAGTGTATTATGATCTTTAAGCCCCAGGTACCTGCCCACGGCACTCGGCCTGGGCTGTGCCATCTTTGAGGGTCGATGGGTGGACTTCTGAGGAGGAAACAGTGTAAAGTTTAAGGTTTGCACCTAATCATTGGTTTCCAACAAGATGACTTTAGGTAGTACTTGGAAAACATTATTTTCAAAAATATAGATTTATGGATTTATTTATGCTTGTTTCTATTTATTTGAACAGTAATAAGAAAAAAAACATGTCTGGTACATTAAAGCAGACACTTAGGATTGATTTCTTTTTAAAAAAATATCTAAGTTTTAAAAGTAACTAGATTTGAACTGCCATAGCATGAAATAATGTAGATGGTTGATGATATATACAATATTAGTAATAAAGACCTGAAGTTTGAAAATCATGCTCAAAGAACATTGTTTTTGTATTAGCTGACATTTTCTACCCCCCCTTTTATTTTTTTCACTTCTATATTTTTATTTTATTTTTTAAATCCTCAACAAAGGATATGTTTTTATTGATTTCTAGAGAGAAAGAAAGAGAGGGAGGGAGGGTGGAGAGGAGAGAGGTCGAGAAGTAGAGAGAAAGAGAATGGTTGTTTCCCTCTGATATGGGTCCCAACCTGGGATGGAACCTGAAACCTGTGCCCATGCTTGGAATCTAATGCACAACCTTTGGGTATATGGGACGATGTCCAACCGAATGAGCACCTGGCCTAGGCTTTTCCCCTTTTTAATCAAACCGCTTGGGCTCAGAGTAGTACAATGAGGGAGGTATGGCTTCTTCTTTACCCCTGTCTTCCAGGTGAGATGAGAGACACCTCGCTAAGGAGAGCTTAAGGTCCTAGGAAGAGTGTGAGGACTCGTGAGCTCTCAGCCCCGGTCCTGGGTACCATGTCCCTTCCACCCCAACTGTGAGTCCTTCTCCCAGGTCTGAGTGTGGCCCGGCGGGGCACAGCAGGAGACAGCTACATGAGCTGCATCCTACCCACCCACCTCTGTCTCCGACCTTTAACATCTCCCATTGGAATTCACGAGTAGGTAGATGTCCTGCCTGAGAACCAGGAGGCCCCGGGACGAAGGGGACAAATCCTCAGAACCTGAAGGCTGCTGTCTGTGGGATGGGCATACTATTGTAGCTCTCAGAGTGGGTACTGGGATACACTAAGTATGAAGCCCCTTGGCACAGAGAACCACCATGGGAAGATATTGACATAGTACTGTAGCTTGCCTTCTCTGAATTTGTCACTTTGCTACTTTGCCTAATATCTCAGCTTTGAAGTCAAGGTGTCCCAGGAAGACCCTGGCCAGCAGGGCGGAGCTTCCCGGGGCAATGGCACAGCTCTTTGGGACCAGCGTCCTTGGACTCTGGAACATCAGCAAGGCCTTGGGAGCTTGTGCAGGGACACAGTTCACTCCCATGACAGAGGTCTACAGTGCTTCTTGGAGTCCTGTTCCCCTGCCAGGGCTCAGTGGCTGTGGGCTGGCCATGCAATCCCGAATGGACCTCTGGAGCAAGGTCTGCGAGCCCCAGTCCATCACCAAGGGAAGGACCAGGGAGGCGGAGCCGGGGATCCTGAGTGCAGGGCTCTATGCTGGTCCCTGCTCACTGGGAGCACAGCTCCCCTAGCTGAATGGGCACATCCTGCAAGTGCATCTGTCTAAGGTGGCTGTGCCCAAAGGCCTTGCCTTGACTGACATCCCGAAAACAGGGGTGGTGCTTTCTGGGACCTTCTTCAAAAGCATGGACAACCAGGGCTAATGTTCTAGGGCAGTGGTAGGCAAACTGAGGCTCACAAGCCACATGTGGCTCTTTGGCTCCTTGAGTGTGGCTCTTCCACAAAATACCGTGGCCTGGGCAAGTCTATTTTGAAGAAGTGGCATTAGAAGAAGTTTCAGTTTAAAAAAATTTGGCTCTCAAAGGAAATTTTAATAGTTGTCCTGTTGATATTTGGCTCTGTTGACTAATGAGTTTGCCGACCACTATTCTAGGGCAAATGAGACCCAAGGGCCCCGAGGGTTCAGGGCTGTGACTTCAGCCCCCGCACTAGCTTTCACACTCTGCCTGCACCCCATCACAAAAACAGTGAGCCAGGTCCAGGTTTGCCCTGTGGTTCTTAACCCCACCCCTCTCACCTGCTCCTCCGCCTCTGGGCAGACTGATGCCAGCATCTGAAGCTCCATGAAAGGTTCTAGAATTTCAGCAAGCATCAGCCCCTGCAGTACACCCCGGTGATGGGAACTGTGAGTCCTGGGAGGGTAGGCAGCATTTCCACAGGAGTAACTCGGACTTAGACACCTTCCGCCTCCTTTCTCCCCGCATCCACCCAGAGGTGGACTTAGGGTTAGCCTGCTCCTTATATTTGGTAGCTCAAGTCACACTGCTGTCCTTCCACAGAGTCAGGATGGCATCAGCACAGCCTGGCTCAGAGGCAGACGCCTCCTGGTGAAGGACCGAAGGGTAGGTTTGTCATATAAGACACAGTGTGCCCAGTTAAATGTGACTTTCAGATAAAGGACCCTTTTTTATTTTTTAGTGTAAATGTGTTCCAAATATTGCATGGGGCATACTTATACTAAAAGGAATCATTCTTTGTT